TGTGTCTACTTGTCATGGAAAACATTACATTTTGTTTTTTTAATTTTTTTTGGTTTTTCTCCGGTACCGGGAACCGAACTCACAACCTTGCACTTGCCAGGCAGGCGCTTTTGCCGCTGAGCTAAATCCCCAGCCCCAATGTGTTACCTTTAACTCAGCGCAGACTGTGTGTCTCAGTGTCAGACCACAGCATCTCCCACAGCGCTGAGGCCAGACAAGACACAGACAGCCGAGTGCCTCAGTATATTTTAAAAGTGACTAATAATACATAGGAACCAACTTCTGTAAGCCTTGGAAAGTGAAATAAGACCCAGAGATTTGCAGATTATAGACCTGTAGTAATGTTGATTCACTACATTGAAAGAATACCTTCTGCTATGTATGTAAAAATATCACTTGTATGTGAGAGCCTGAAAGATTACAGCTCTTTGCATAACATTCAGTGTTTTTTATAGTGAACTGAAATTTACCTATTTGATAATATGAATGGTTTTAAGCTTTATTCTCTATAAGTGTACAGCATAAATCCAACCTGTCTTCTATATGACAGTTATTAGTATTCTTTCTCGATTTTTCTACTTCCTGTACACTAATGCCCTTAAAACGCCTCTCTTCTGTATCATAACATTTCTAAGCAGTTGTTCTCGTAAGTCCTTGATTCTCATGCCTGCCCTGTGAGATAGCATTGTTCGTGTCCATCTGATCACAGATCAGAGAAATGGAGAGCTCAGCTGCCGCAAGGGATGCGCAGGGTGACCTGGGGCTCCCCCTGCCTGCTGTGCTGGTACTCACCGCTGTACCTCCCCAGCCAGCCTTCTTGTGACACGTTCCCTGGGCTCTTGCTCTCCGCTCTTTCCTCAGTACCATCGTGTTGGCTGAGCCACCTCTCTTTCAAGACAGCGTGGAAAAATGATCTTGGTACTTGGGGTGTGCTCTACCCTGGAGTTGAGGCAGCTTGGCATGAGTGCAGGAGCACATTGCAGATTTTTTCACATCTTGGCTGATCTCCTACAGGTATTAAATTAGATCTTATCTCTATGTGTTCACATGTGCACGAGTGTGCATTTATAAATATGTGTGTGTATATATGTATTTTCCTGTAAAAAGACTTTACGTGTTTTTCTGTTGAGCTGCCTTGTCACTTTTGGTAAGTTCTTGCTTACCTCCGTCTTTGCTGTTCTTTCTTTTTCTGTGCTGACTGTGCCTCCCGCCTGACTTTCGCAGGCTTCTTGAGACAGTTCACTGAGGTTTCGTGGCCTGTGTCTTGCACAGTGTGTCAGGCCAAAATTCTATGATTTGTGGATGTCTCTTTTTCAAGAGTGTTTTGTCCTTTTTAAAGCTTCTCCTTGTGGGATTATGCCTGTCTTCTCTCCTCAGGTTTTAGGTTTGCCTTGTCTTCTGTAGAGATAAGAGTTAGTTTTCGATCACTCTTTTAGATATTATGATGACTGGTGAAACCTTGTTCTCAGGAACCGTTAAGAACTTTGTAACCTAGCTGGATAACCCTGCCTTTCTCACTCCTGCTGCCATTTGCCAAATTGAGCATTTAAAATGTATAGTCATTTTGCATTAGCTTACTCAGAAACACAATTATAGTCTACTTGCTTTAATTCCAATATCTGTGATATTAGAGAAAACCGTATCACCTTTAGGAGATTCAGTAACGAGCAGTGTCTCATCTTGGCTTTTCTGAGTTGCGTCTCAGGGCTGACACTCACCTTACAAACACTTGTAGCATTTCCTTAATAATTCCACTCTGCAGGATGTCTCTCCTATGGTTCTTCTAAACAGTGACTGCCGTCTGCTTCACTCCTGGGGGGGAGTGGGCAATAAATCACCACCGCTCTTCACACAGACCCTCCTGGCCTGGCTCCTCCCCAACACAGCTCCTGTGGCCACATGGGGCCATGCCTGCTGCCCCTTTCCCTGGGTGGCTCTAGGCTAGTACAGGTCAGCTGAAAATGCACCTTCTAGTCACGTGGGTGAATGTCACACATGAATCACATCACACATGTGCTGACCCTTTCTGATACTACACTGGTGTAATGAGGCCTCATCAAAACACACTTTACTTTGATATTACTATGGAATTTACAAAAATCAGTAATTTACGTGTTTAAGAATTGTCCCAAAGCTAAAGATAAATTATTTCACTTTAGAGTTTAGCTTCAACTAAATCTGAAGGAAAAAAAAGTAATTTGACTTGAGTACTTGCAGCGGTTTCCGGAGTTGATCCCTTCAGTGTTGCACATGTCATGAAGGCGTTCCTTCAGCAGTTATCTCCTTTGTTTCTAGGTGAATGAAATTTACCATGATGAGTCCCTTGGAGTACATATAAATGTGGTCCTGGTACGCATGATAATGCTGGGCTATGCAAAGGTAAAATACCTTAAAGGATGGGAACTATGCACATTAGGGCCTGGGTCAGCAGTAGAATATTAAATCACAGAAGCTGCAGCTGCCCTGTGTCTCATGTAGACCCCTGGTGTACTGAGCTGAGAAGAGAAAAAGCCACAGTAAGTAGAGATCTCCAGGTTTCAGTGGATAATAAATGACTTTGATGATTCTACATTTTACTTACTTCCCTCTAGATGGTTATCCTTAGTGTAGATAAAACTGCATGAATGAAAATGAGTATGTATCATTAAGAGAGGTAACTTAGCCTCTGGGAGGCTTAGGTAGGAAGATTGGGAGTTCAAACCCAACCTATATAACTTTCAGATTGGCAAGACTCTGCTTCAAAAAAAAATTTAAGAAGGAGGCTAGCGATGTGGTTCAGTGCAAGAGGCTTGGGTTCAATCCCCAGTACGGCAACCAAGAGGGAGGATGAGTATTTTTTAGATCACGATTACCAAGTTTGTGATTTATATATTCATTCAAAATGTCTATACTGAGTGCCTATTATGGGATGTACTCTTCCTAGGTACTTGGACTGTGTTATTGAAGAAAGAGATGAGATCTTTGCCTTCTCTTGATTTGTTAAAAAAAAAAAACAAACAAACCTTATTTTACACATATCTTTTCATATTTAAAAGTGAACTGAATCACTTGTAGGAAACTTCAGACCACAGTGTTTAGTGAGATAAATTAGGTGCACAACCTTAAATATCACATGGTTTCTCTTACATGAGAAGCACAAAGTATAAATAAAGAGCAAAATGGAAGATAATAGGAAGTAGGGAGATAGATGTTTATCAAATGGGACGGGATCAAGAGGTGGAGGGAGAGGAAAGGGAAGGAAAGGGGGCAGAACAGGCATCAAGGTGTGTTGTGTGCAGATACCTCCCCCCAACGAGGAATGTGAATGTAGGTGCTGCCAATATGTACTAATACAAAATGAAATGATATTTTCCACTTCAAAGAACTTAAGTACTTTTTTGAAAACAAAAACTTGGTTCTCAGAATGCACACACATTAGGCATTTCATGAATATAGTTGACTTTAACCAATTTTAAAATAATACTGGTTATGTCCCTGTCCTTGGAAATAATGAAATGGATGAAAGTGAACCCCTTCAAGAGGGAAACATAGAGGAAGAGACTAACTTGGCAATTTTCTTGATGTTTAAATTACACGTCCTGCTCCCATGATTAATCCTTCTGATTATGAAGTGCTAGGGAATGTGTGCATTGAGGAAGCAGGGAAAAGCCATATGCTTGTGTTTCATTATATATTTAACATCCAATTATTTTTGTCTAATGACAGGGAGTCCTTGATCTTTAGTTTCTCCCATAAGCCTGACCTACTTTGAGCAGCTCCCAAGAAATGGACATTAGTTCCAGCTGGCGATGTTTACAGCCTTCTGTAGGTTGTTAAATCACTTGTTTGGAGAAATATGTGACCAGCATATAACAAATCAATCTAATTTATTAAGAATGTAAACACCTATGATAACATTTGCTGAAACTTAACAGAATTCTCAGCCTATCAGCCAAGCTGGGACTCATTTTTGGTTCCAAATTCAGTTCTCATTCTTTCACAGCACTCCAGTTCTCTATCCCTGACCTTTGAACTCTAGACCATAGCATGGCAACATTCCCAGGAAATTAACTCTGTTTATTGGAACTACAAGATAAGAGTACGCCCCTCTTCCTTATGAGGTTGAAAAACTTTTGTTGTTTTTTTTTTCAGTGTGAGGTTAATATAATCTGACTGTTCCTCATGCACTAAAATTTGACTAACCTTGCCAGTTAATGGAAGAAATTTCTATTCTTTCCACATGCTGATTATTTCTGGACCAAAAATATCCACAAAACTCTTAAAGACCTTTTACTTTCATATCTCTGGAATAGTCTTGTGAGAATCTTTCCCTCTACTTTTGTTCTTAACAACTATGAAATTTAAAATCTAAGCAGAATCAAGACACATTTTAGACTTCTAAAATTTTTATCCAAATGATTATTGATGAGTTGCCTCAAAATAGCAAATCTTGGCATGAGACTTATTCATCAATTGTGCCCATTAACCCTCTCATAAGAAGTTTTGAATATCACGCAGATATCCTCATGGGCATTTCAAATTCCCAAACCACAGCAGGTATCTAATGCCCCAAATAATATTATTAAATCATATATTGAACATATTATGACCCAAATTTCTGCTTCACAAAAGGTTATTAAAGAAAGCCTTTGGGCAAACGTTAGTGTGTCTTTAACATATTCTTTCCTCTTAGTCCATTAGCCTCATAGAAAGGGGAAACCCGTCCAGGAGCTTGGAGAATGTGTGCCGCTGGGCTTGCCAACAACAAAGATCCGATCCCAACCACTCTGAGCACCATGATCATGCAATTTTCTTAACCAGGCAAGACTTCGGACCTGCTGGAATGCAAGGTATTAGCATTAATATGCAGAAGGAACACTGACCGGTGTGACTTTTCAAAAGCAGTCCTAACTCAGGCAGCCTGTTCATTAGATCTCTGCCGCCACTTTCCCTCTTCCCTGGCCAAGCGTACATTTTCTTTCTGTTGTTTCCAGTGACTTCTGTGGAATTCACAGTGGTAAATGCTACTTAATACTGTAATGAGTTACACTTGCCTTTAAAATAACGGTTGTGCATTTGGGGTCTGGAGGGGACGCCATAAATGCCCTGTGATGTCCACTGTTTGGAGGGAGAAAAGAGATGCCGTGAAGAATGACTGCTTCCAAAGAGTTTTCTTCTAAAGTCAGCTTACATTTATCTAAGAAATTCTGATGTGGACATTGGAACAAGCAGACTGACGATTTCCTTTTCAACATTGATGGGATTTTTGGCTTCCTTCGCCACTACCACAGCATCAAGGCCCATTTACTAAGGCAGAAAGGCAGGGCTTAGCTGGTGGGCGGAGGGAATGGCGGCTCCAGGCAGCTCCTTCGCTCAGGAAGGGAGAAAGTGCAAACCCAGTGAATCCTTTTAGAGATGATTACCTGTGGCTTTCCCAAGAGAATGTGGGTAAGGCTAGCAGGGAAATAATGCTGCCCCTGTTTGCTGAAAAGCTTGCTTTTTATTTTCCCCTAGGCAAAGGTCCAGTAGTAATTTCTAATGGGTTTTCTCATACAAGGAAAATAAAAGTAATTGTTATTCTCTGCAGGATATGCTCCAGTGACAGGCATGTGTCATCCAGTGAGGAGCTGCACCCTGAATCACGAGGATGGGTTTTCATCTGCTTTTGTAGTAGCGCATGAAACTGGCCATGTGTAAGTCACTCTTGACAGCCATAGAGGAAATAAAAGGTCCTTTCTCCACTTCTCCCAGTGTTGTTCACACTTTGGGCAGAGTCATGCCAGCATGCGGTTCTCATCCCTTCCCAGTGTGAGGAGCGGAGCACAATGAGGAGGTCACGCGCTGCAAAGCAGTGAACGACTGTCCTGCAGCCCCGTGCTTGCAGAGATCCAGAATAAGAGAGGCATGGCTGTCAGATTACTCTCTCCTTCTGTGTGTGGAGCTGCTCTGAGAGAGCTACGCTGACTAAAAACTGCATCCTTTCCAGTACTGTCAAGAGAGAGGGGAAGCAGACGCTGCCGCTCAGAGCTGTGAGGTCTCCTTGCTTTGTGTTCCAGGCTGGGCATGGAGCACGATGGGCAAGGCAACCGGTGTGGCGACGAGACTGCGATGGGCAGCGTTATGGCGCCCTTGGTGCAGGCGGCCTTCCATCGCTACCACTGGTCCCGCTGCAGCGGTCAGGAGCTGAGGAGATACATCCAGTACGTGCCCAACGTGTGCCAGGGCCTCTGTGGGTGCCCCAGACAGGAAACGGAGCCTAGGACTCACTTGGGTCATTCCAGAGTTCCCAGTCAGTGAAAGCTGTTGTTGATAATAAATATCTTCTGAGGACTTTGTGGTTTGGGCACCATAATTCTATAATGTAACCACAGCATTTTAAGCCATAGCCTGGAATTTGAGCCCAGTCCTAGGAGTGAGGTGATTTCCCTTTCGTAACCTCTTCATGGAATTTTCCCTAATGGCCACAAGAGTGGCAGGTGGCGAGGGAGCTCATGGGGTCCTGGGCGCTGTCTCCTCTACCCCGTCCCACCCTGTGTTAGGGTCCATCCTTCCCCATGGAGTAGGGGCTCCCTTAGTGAAATGAGGAAGCTATTTCCTGTGTTCTGCTTGGCTTACTTTTTGGAATGAACAAAGATTTTTTTTCTAAATTGAACTAAAACCAAAAAACTTTAAACATGCTTTTCTGTCTTAACTTTAGGAATTTACTACAATAAAGACACATTGCAATTAATCCCCCTCATTTTGAATGATTCCATTCACTGTGGGAGTTCATACACCCCAGCTCTCTCTCCCTTCTTTTGGCCCCCGCCTCTCCCCATCCTCCCTACTCAGAACTCTGCTCCCCTTTCCATTTGCGAGAGCTCTACTTTCAATCTTTTGTTCTTTAATTCTTTTTTTTATCCATTCCCTTTCCCTCCTTTCCCTTTTGTGAACTTGCTCTACAGTCTGATGGTATTCTAGAGTGTATAAGCTAAGAGTTCTTTATTATTAAGACACAGTGTTTAAAAATAAACATTTAATTACAAGTGATCTTTTCCTTTCTGCAGTTCCTATGATTGTCTGCTTGATGACCCTTTTGAACATGATTGGCCCAAACTCCCAGAACTTCCTGGAATAAATTATTCTATGGATGAGCAATGTCGTTTTGATTTTGGTGTTGGTTACAAAATGTGTACTGCAGTAAGTTACCCACAGTTAATTTAAATTTTTCATCTTGAAATCTATTCATGAGCTTTGCAGGCTCACTGGTACAAGTGTAAGACTGTCTACCAATTATCCTGTGTTTGCTCTGTATTTATTTTAAATATGCTACCTTATTTAATGCTCATGATATATTAGAAGGAAGGCGATAAACTTTAGTCTTACAGAAGAAAAAACCAAGACAGGATAAGCAACTTGCTCAAGTCACACTTCTGCTAAAGAGGGGAGTTCAGCTTTGAACTGAAGCTCCCCCACTCTAAATCTTTACATTCTGTTCTTTCTCTGATTTCTCAGAGGTGACTTTTTTAGACACAGTTTTTCTTTGGCTCTGTGGCCAGGGTTCTATGCATTTGTGGCCCTAGGAAGAGTTATGCTGGTGTCTTATATGGGAAGCAGCTGTGTAGCACGGCATCATTGGGTTGTGGTCCAGCTTGGCTGTGTCCCCAGCACCTGGGAGGCAAAGGTCGCAAGGCAGTTTCATGATGTAAGCAGACTCTGTCTCAGAAAAACAAATAAATACATAAACAACAGTAAAGAGGGCTGGAAAGGTACTCAGTGGAAAGGCCCAGAATAAAAAGGAGGTATGGATCTGATAGTCTGGGTGAATCAAGTCCTGGTGTTAGTTAGACGTGGCATTAGACACCTCAATCTATCTTAGTCATGCGTACAATGTGGGTAACATTAGCATTTATCTGGAAGGTTGGTGTGAGGATTTGGTATGATAATGAAATTACAATGATTAGGGTAATGCAGGCACATAATAACTGCTCTATGTAATCTATTGAACCTAGGGGTCCATGTAAAAATCCAGATTAGAGGTATGTTCTTTTAAATTTCCGTACCAATCTGGTAGTTAATTTTAGAAAATGAAAAGAGTTTTTATATGGTTAAAGACTTTTTGTTTTACTTCTAGAAAATTAAAGTATTTATTGATATTGATAAGAAATTGATCTGCTGTTTGAAATCTTCCAGATAGAGCCAGTTAGTCTGTCTGTAAGGTATATACTGTGAGCTCCTAATTACCTGTATTGGTGTTTCAGACCTGAGAATTCTAAAGCTTTGTGTTAATGTCCTAGAAATGTATAATTTTTAGAACAACAACAACAAAAAATCCTGGTCTAAAATGAGCACTAATAAATTACATCTCTAACCATGAGGCTATGTATGGGTCAATTAGCATATTAGCAGTATAGGTAATAAATACATGGATATACTGTGTTTGCTATTTTTTTTTAAGTTTTTTGAGACAGAGTCTTGTGTAGTCCAGGCTGGCCTTGAACTTGTGGCAGTCCTCCTGCCTCAGCCTCCCAAGTGCAAGAATTACAGGCATGTCACCACATCCAGCTATTTCCTATTTTAAAAAACTCTACCTAAATGGTAAGATACTTACATTTAGAAAAAAAGAACAAATGAAGACTACATACAAGTGTGTGTGTTTACATAAACATCTGGATGTTATAATGCAGAGTTTGATATTGAGAAAACACAGGTTCTATCCTGGTTGTGATAGAACCTTGTAACTGACTGTGATCTTGTGGCCTCTATTCCTCAGTCAGGAGCTGGTGTGAGGATTAAGTGTATGGGAAGTACTTTATAACCCGTACAAACGTGTGATATTTTGTTGCATGGGGTTACCTCGTCTTATACAGATAATTTGACAAATATTTTCTACTTTTAGTCAACTAATTATTAGGAGCATTTTTATTATCTATTTCAAACCTACAGGAATAAAGAGAAGCCATTCTGATAGCTTGAGTCCTGTCAGATGATTGTAATAAGATTTAGTACTTCAATTGTTCATAATAATGCTAACACATTTTAAAATTCCAATATTATCCATTTGAAAGCCATAAAGTAAAAATGATATGGATAGAAACATTAAAAATCTAGCAGAAACACCCAAACGAATCACTATTTATCATTGCTCTTTTACAAAAAAACAAAATAAATGTATTCTACTAGGATTTTTTTTTTTTTTTTTTTGGTTTGTTTTTTCTTGAGACAGGGTCTCGCTGTGTATTTTAGGCTGGTCTTGAACTTGGGGCGACCCTCCTGTCTCTGCCTCCTGAGTTCTGGGATGACAGGCATGTGCCACCATGCCCGACTTACTTAGAATCTTACATAGTATTTTTTCTTCATGTGTCATAACTTTATTTTGATGTTTTTGTTCTTCATGCATTATAACTTTGGCTATAACTTGAACTGAAAATGTCCAGAGCACGTGCAGGAACTGTGTGGGGGCGTGACTGGCGCCTGTCTGGTGTTCAGAGCGTTTGTTTTCTCTTCCAGTTTCGAACCTTTGACCCGTGCAAACAGCTGTGGTGCAGTCACCCCGACAACCCCTACTTCTGTAAGACTAAAAAGGGGCCGCCGCTGGATGGCACCGAGTGCGCTGCCGGGAAAGTGAGTGTGCGCATGTGCGTTGGGATGCGGGAAGCTTTGCTACAAGGCCGCAAAGCCTGCTGGGAGGAGCCCAGGTGCATCTCTCCTGTAGAAACTTCGGTACAGAGGCTCAGTAAGGTGGAGTGTACTGGAGTCCTGTGGCCGCTGCAACAAATGGCCACGACTTTTGTTGCTTAAAACACCAACAATTTATTATCTCATGGTTCTTGAGGTCAGAAATAGAAAGACAATTTCACTGACCTACCGTCAGTGGTAGACCGGGACACCTGACTCTGTCGTGGCCCCCCTGCACGTGACCTCCACCCTGGTGGCCGTCCACCTTCCTTCTCTGCTCTCTTCTACAAGTACAAGTGTAGTGGCAGTTTTGGTCCACCTGGGTAATCCAGAATGATATTTGAATTTGAAGTCATTACTTTAATCACATTTGCAAAGACCCTTTTTCTAGATAAAGTCACATTTACAGTAGATTAGGATCTATCACCCTTGGGACCACCGTTCAGCCCACTACAGATTGGGAAAAAGTAGTTCAGCAGAATCTCCCCCCCAACCCCCCACCCCCGCAAGGGGTTTGATTTACTTTACTGGATCTCATGCCTCATGAAAGTTGCCCAGAGGTAGTTATGTGAATGTATGTAGGAGATTTGGCCTCACTCCTCAGGGAAAGATGCCCAGAGGGTTTAAATCTCAAATCGTGTAGTTAGGACTGAATGCTCAGCGGTTGGCAGAGAGCCAGGCTGCGTTACTCAAGGGCAAGATCCCAGAACAAAGGCGTGTTGAGAGCTCAATTCCAAGAGCCTTGACTAGTTTAGAAATAAGATATTGTAGACTGGACAAAAAGCTGGCAAAGAAGATCAATACCTCTTTTAGTTCCTTTAAAAGGTCAATTTAAAATGTGTATACACTTACTTGTGAGGAGAATTATGCATAATAGTAAATAATAAGACCTATGATTACAAATATTTGCATTGTGTCCAACTCTATGCTAACTGTGTGATATATAATACTTTTCTTTGAGAAGACTTAGTAGCAGAAAATATTGACTAGACTCTAGAGGGACAGTAAAGTAATTGGTTCTTATTTCATTAAAGAATGATACTCTGTAATCAACTCTTGACATCCAATTCCCTTGAATATAATGGTGTTATATTTATATACAAAAGTCAAGTTTAAAGAAAATTCTTTTATTGCATATAGTATGAACAAGCAAGTGAAAATGTCTGAAAGGAAAATAAGTAGTACCTTGGAGCACCTGCCGTATGCGGAATGCTGTGACAAGGTGCCTGTGGTGTCAGGGTGCCAGTCGCCCCTTACCTGCTCCCTGGTCAGGTGGTACCCACTACTCATGACCCTTCTGGCCTTAATTTTCCTCATCTAAAAGGGTTAGATCATTATCTGACCTATCAGGATCATTGTGAATTAAATTTTATAAGGTAATAACAGTGCTTTGAAATCTGGATGTGGTTAAATATTATGTTAGTTATTTTCTTAGTTAAGACATATACTCTCATGGCCATCATTTTAAAGGGGAATCTGTTGCTCTCAGAAACTCCTCAGCTGGGACAGGTAGTGGAGATGACAGGTAGAATGATACCCCCTGGAAAAGCTGGGTACACAGAAAATCCCCGGTTATGATGTCTGTTACTGGTGACTGTATCACTTAAAAACTTGTCTGAGTGAATGTTATTTTTTATTTTAATTTTATAATAAAAATACAAGTCTGTATTCCCCTTCCATTAGGGTGTCTTAAGGATATAATTGCTTCTGGATATTTTGAATGCATTGTTATGTAGAAAAAAGAAGCAGAAGAAAGAAGTGAAAACTTTATGTAGGTGGTTCTTAACAACTCCAACTTGGGTGACTGTGTGATTTTCATAATGGCTTTTGTCACTGTCCTCAGTGGTGCTACAAAGGACACTGCATGTGGAAGAACACCAATCAGCAGAAGCAAGACGGCAACTGGGGCTCCTGGACCAAGTTCGGCTCCTGCTCCCGGACGTGTGGAACTGGTGTCCGCTTTAGAACCCGCCAGTGCAACAACCCCGCGTGAGCAGAGTCTCTGCAGCTCTTGGGTATTTGGGTGGACTGGAAGAGGCGTCCTGTCGTATCACTGGTACTCTCTTTCTCTAAGTGCATGTAAAATATAGGACAGAAAAAAAGAATGTTCAGAGTTCATAAACCAGTATCAATTTTGGATAAATCACTTAATGTATCTTGTGAAGACTACAAAGTAATGAAGATAAGAACCTTGGATGAAGATGAGAGATTTTCTGGAAAAATTGCTATCAAGAGTATTAAGGGCCCCCAGGAGGTCAGATCACGGTGCTCTTAGTGCAGGGCCTGGGAGCATCTCGGGCACCCCCAGAGAAGCACAGGCACTGCACAGAGGACAAGCTGGGGTGGCAACCGGTGGTCAGGAGCCAGGGCGAGCCTTTACTCTTACTCTCTTTCACTCTCATCAGTCCCTGGCATATACTCCACAATCTGTTTTCTGATGTAGAAAAATAATGAGACTGTTAAATTTCTGGTGTTCTTCCTAGGGTTTAACACACGGGCAGCCCCTCTGTGCAACAGGATGTCTGGGTATATCTTTGGTAGAGACCGTGGGTACCACATACCTGTCTTTACAGGAAAAGATGAAAGTAACATTGGAGAACGTAACACAGGGGATCAAAGTGATAAGTGCAGCAGGGTTTATCATGCGTACCTTAAGTACATTACCACATCCTCAGCATTTTGCTGTGGAATATAGTGTTACTGTTTGCATTTTACATAGGAGGGACAGAGCCAGAGAGCTATGATCAGTTTCTCTGAGTTGCATCTTTGTGCTTTATACTTGAGAGAGAATGTAACCTCTTGAGACCACGTGCATGCTTTTTATTTCTTTACACTGGAAAAGCTGATTGAGGTTGAGCTGATTGAGGTTGAGTCCACCCACACAGGAAGAGCGGGGACCTGTGGGAAGGGACAGGGTGGAGGAGGAAGCGCAAGGTCACTCGTGGGCAGGCAGCCCGGTGGTGGCAGTGACCGCAGCTTCAGGGGCCGGGCCAGGCGGCTGTTGCAGCGCACTCTCTCCTGCAGGCCCATCAACGGTGGGCAGGACTGCCCTGGCGTTAACTTTGAGTACCAGCTTTGTAATACAGAAGAGTGCCAGAAGCACTTTGAGGACTTCAGAGCACAGCAGTGCCAGCAGCGGAACTCTCACTTTGAGTTCCAGAGCACCAAGCACCACTGGCTGCCACACGAGCACCCCGACCGTGAGTACCCCACCCTCGCCCTGCTGACCCCTACCTGGTGCTGAGGGGTCCCGGAGCTTCCAGGAGCAGGCGGTTCCGCTCTCTAGAGGTGGGGACTGTGCCGCCCATGTCCTGGCAAACAGCACACCTACCCTCACCAAGGAAGTGCATGGTGGGAAGTGATGCCTGTGAGAGAGCCAGAATTTCTTGATTTAGCTAAAATCTCTCCATGGGAAATGCTTCTGGATATGTGTGCTCTTTCCTTTTGGAATAACTAGAGAGAAATACAGGTCATGTGTACCTGGGTCAGAAGCAAGAAAAAGACCATTACTTAGTAACAAAAGGTACTTCCTAGCCTTTTATTTTTGCATTGTAAACTAGTTGTTGAAAAATATATTCGGAATGAGGCACACCCTGTAATCCTATCGCTTGGGAGGCTGAGGCAGGAGTACTACCTTGTATTCAGGGCCAGCCTGGATGACAGACTATGTCTCAAAAACAAAGCTAAACAGAACAAAAAAGAAAATAAATAAAAATTTGGAAATTACTTGTTAACGTTTCACTTATGACCCTTGAGTTCTTGGTAACATGTGTCCAAATAGTAACCTCTTGCTGTATTTCTTTTGTTTGTGTGTGTGTGTGTAAAAAATCTTTAAGAAAAAAATTTAGTTAATAAAAATTTTCTTAACAAGTTTCCTTAGCAAAATACACCCAAAAGGAAATCACATTACACAGAAAGCTTTAAGTCAAGGCCTCACCAGTTCTTACAGTATTAGTGCTGTGTCTCAATTCTCAAAACTCTTTTTAAAAGGCTTGTGGATCCTTGGTACCAACCCCGGAACACCTTGGGGAGATGTACTTTTTGGGCAACTCAAAGGTGCTAGATCCCTAATTCAAAGAGGAACATTTCTCATGTTTGTTCATTCTAGTTTATATTTTCATTTAAATAAATCTTGCCATATTTCTTACAGATAAAAAAAAAGTTACATAATTGTCGTGTGATCTAATACATTATGAATTCAGTTTAACATTAATTTAAAGGAAAGGTGAATACATGCAGGAATTCGGGGTTGCAGTACATTCAGAAGAAGTGCATTGTTTTGGTGAAATGAGTCATATAAAGTATATTTAATGAATGAGATCCTCTAAGAGGCACAAACTGTGCTTGGTGGTAAGCTGGATCCAAGAGAGCCCCGTCAGTTCTCTGGGCGTTACTAAAACCAAGCTGGTTTGGAGCTAGTTTCTGAGAGCTGTGGTGGAATGAGCTGCTAACGGCTGGACTTGGGGTCCCTGCTGGTTCGAGTCCCAGGTGGAGAGGCGCAGTTGCTGCCGCGTGGTGCAGCAGGTGTGCCCCTTGCTCAGCTGCATTCATTCAGGGCGTTCTCTAGCCATCAGGAACCTATGTTGAAACTGCATTTCAAAAGTGAGGTGCGCCATGCTGCCCGAACAGCCTGTTTTGCATGCCTAGTCACGTTCCTCCTCCCCTCCCGCAGCCAGGAAACGATGCCACCTGTACTGCCAGTCGCGGGAGACGGGGGTCGCGGTGTCCATGCGGCAGCTGGTGGCGGACGGCACGCGCTGCTCCTACCGGGACCCGCATGGCGTGTGCGTGCGCGGCGAGTGCGTGGTGAGTTCCCGGCCTGCCCCGCAGCCTGCGTGCATGGACAGTGCCTGCGTGGATGGTGCGTGCGAGAGGAGCCGGGCTGGTAAAACCAGGCCGGTCACTGGAGCGCTTGGGATCAGGGAATTTCCTATCTCCAGCCGCGCGCCGTGGTGGAGATCCTGTGTGCCGGGGCACCTAGTGCCAGGGGCCTGCAAGTGAAATACACACATATGGGATCTTAAAACAACCCAGTGCAAAGCGTATTTTGTCTTTTGTTTAAACGATAATACAGGTCTCTCTCCCTCTTTCGCTTTCTAAATTGATTTTAAGTTTAAACATTGTTTTTCACATCAAAGCAAAAATTCTAGAGAAGCAAAACAACTTTGACCTATTTAATATTTTGTAAAAAAAATGCAGCTTATTTCTTGTTGATGTTCAAAGTTGATATGCGATTATCTTTATCAACTGAAACATGTTAACTCCTAATGTCTGCTTATTGCCTCAGCAAAACTGAAATACACAGGTGCCTCAGGATCTGTGGAGGCAGCAGCCCCTTGGCGTCCTTGTCTGAGCCCCTGCGTTACTGCGCTGGATTTCCTCCCCTGGGCGTTTACAAAGCAAAGACTCCTGCTTGAGGGTGGTGTTGAGGGCCGGCGCCCGCGCCCACACCCTCCTGCTGAGGGTGTCCCCCCTGTGTCACGGGGCAGAGAGGAAGCGCAGGGGGGGTGTGCCCAGGGGGACCAAGGGCGTGGCTTGTGCAGGAAGCCACTTCTTGAGAACAACGTCCATTCGTTGGGAAGGCAGCAGTCTCGAGTCTCACCACAGCTGCTCAGCCCCAGCCACTCAGTACCGGCACCCCGGGGAGTGAGTTCCCAACACGCTCTGAAAGGGACAGTGCAAACCCTAACAGTGGGGTGTCTCGTCCTCGTCCTTTGCCCAGCAGCGTGAAATACACATGCCATCGTGACTTTCCCCGCCTGTGCCGTGCCAGCCTTATAAACACAGTGCTGTGTGGTGCAGTGTCCTTGTTCCACACTGGGTTACTTCAAGGACCTGCCCCATTCCCGAAAACCATCAGTGGTTCTCTGTCCAGTGAGTGTGCAAATGTAGACTGGACCTGGAATCCATGCCTTCCGTGGCCTCCGCTGTGCTCAGCATCACCTTCCCCTGACTCAAGGGCTGTTTTCCCTACCGACCTCTGACCCACAGTTCCTCCCGCTCTGCCCTCACTCTCTACTGTGAAACGCTGTCCACTTTGCTTTCCTGACAGGCCCTGTGGAAGTATCCAGCACTTCCGGGAAGTGTTACCTCACATCCTTAGTGACTTTTACAGACCGAGTGACTATATACACTATATAACCATACAGTTATACATAAATAATGCATGACTCACTATTTTTATTTTTCTTTATAAATATGAAAACAAGGGAAAAGCACCATATTTTTTGGTTTTGTTTTGGTTTTGCTTTCCCAGTATTAGCTCTATCTGTGCTCAGTAAATGTAAGTTTGATGATTGAAATAATTATGATGGGAGAAACACTTTATCAGACTGAAGACCTTTATCTTTGTTACAAGAGTACAACTCATCTGACTCCACGATAGCTCCTTACAGGACTAGTGTGTGAAACTCTGTGACTGTCATGAGTTCGGTGCAGACGTGCTGAGGATGGCTGTTGGGGACCGAATGGTTCATCGTTCTCTGTATGATGTTTTGTGCCTGACACATTAAGAAGTCGCCACATTTAACATCTTCTTCCCCCAGAAAGTGGGCTGCGATAAAGAAATTGGTTCCAACAAGGTTGAGGACAAATGTGGCGTCTGTGGAGGAGACAATTCTCACTGTCGCACTGTGAAGGGGACGTTTACGAGAACGCCCAGGAAGCTTGGTAAGACAGGGGTCTTATGTACAACATGCTTCTCCAGAACTGGTGCTTTTGAGTCTCTGGCAGGGCAGCATTTTCTCAATAAACATGACAAAAGTTAGCTGATGATTTTTTAACTTAAATTGTCTCTTAGGGAAATATTTAAAAATTTTTAAATTCATATTCCATAGCATTTATGATGAGACAATATCTATTAAATTCAAAGTCAGTATCCATTATAGTACTTAGCTATGTGTTACATTTTCTTTTACATTTTTAATAAAATGGAGATAGAAATGATATGTACTTTGAATACCTGTTGCACATAAATTGTTGGCCAGGAGTTAAAAACATTATTAACCATTAAGTGTAACTTTTTAAAATGCTACTTTGATTTTACTTCTTTTATTTTAAAAAATGAACATCTTATCCTACTTATAAATCAATAAATGTAGGATCTGTATTTCACATTATTTTAAAATTTTTATTTAAAAATATTTTAATTTTTATTTAAAATTTTTATTTAAAAATTTTTATTTAAAATCTAGATACAACCAAAAAATAATCTGAGTTTTGACTTCTATGAGAAGTTTTGTGCTTCCTACACTGTCTAGAACATGAACTTAGATACACATTGGCAGTCCAAAAGATGGAACTGAAACGTATTTTCATCCAACAAATCATTTGTAAAAATATTAGTAGTTTCATAATACTCATTGGAATTTTCATTAAAAATTTGGATCTAAACATTTATTATTGAATACTTTCCTGAGATTGTAACAGATATTCAGTTATTCAGTAAGGATTTATTGGGCAAATGCTTCTGGAAATTAAGCATTTAAATATAAAATTGATATGGTGCTTCCTTGAAAATTCTTCTACTGTATTTTTATGTTAATATACTTTTATTCTTTCTTCATTTCAGTGAAATCAAATGTAATGTTCTCCATCTCACTGTGAAATGATGAACTGTTCTTTGTTCAGTGCAGTTACATGTTACTCTTTTCTTTTGGGTACAAAATAATTAATTTGTTTTATTTCCAGAGTGAGATAATTAAAGAAAAATGGTTTTGCCATGATCATTTGTTCTATAATATGTACCATAAGGTAATGAGACTGTCTTTCACATACCTCACAAATTATTTTAATCAGCAATTTAAGGTCAAAAGAACATGAGAAATTGATCATCAGTTATGCAAATTCCAACTTTTCAAAAAGAATCTAACATCCATTTCTCTACACTAATATTGTCATTATAGTAATTCAGTGACTAATTAACCTTTTCCAACAGGGAAACATTTAAGCAAGAGGTGCCATAAAGAATTGAAGTTACTGGAAAATGAAATCTGCAAGTATTCAGCTTCAAATCACCTACACCATTTTGTGTTCAAACTTAGTCTTGGTTTCACTGACTGTTAACTGTTTATTGGCATTAGCTAACCAGTGTAAATGTATTTTTACTTCTATACATAAAATGACAGAACATATTTTATACCTTCTCTACTGAAATATATAAGACTTACGAGATAGTCAGTGAAACACAAGACAATGATAAACATGAAACCTCCATTAATTAAAGACATTCTATTTAAGGGAAGACAAGAGGCGCATTCACTGTACCCAGAGGAGCTCGTAATATTTCTCTTGTTGCAACAAGAGAAGCTAGAAGTATACTGGGTAAGTTGTAGAAAACTGCAGAAAAATGGGCACCCATAAATGGCATCAAGCTGTTTTGCTGTGTGCTACATTTTAAGCATGCTCCTTCTATCCGTGACACATTCAGGCAAAATGGTACCTTTCATGTGTTGGGCTTCACCCTGATCTACCTATGGTTGCTCCACTTCGTAAGGACACGGATAAACATGATGAGAGGCTGAGCAAATCTACCTATAGGTACCAATTAACTGTACATAGACAAAATTTTTTAAATGCGTTTTTCCTAATTCTCTCAATTTTGTATCAATCACTGAATTTCAGTCAGTACTTATCCTGCATTGTACACAGTATGGGTTCCAAAATACATAGGTATTATGTTATAATCTTAGGTCTAGGTTATAATCTTCATGTATTCACTTATTTTTGATGGAAATGTGATATAACATCTTGGTCTACCTGGCCTTTTGTTGATCTGTAGTTAGGATCTTAATTCCAAGTGATCTTATAATTTTGAGGACATGTGATAATATTAAGAAGTTTTCTCATATATGACATTGACAGTAATAGAAATGATATATAACTTTAAAACCCAGAGCAACCAGTTTTAAGCCTCTTGATTTTATCATTTCCAGCCTAAAAGACTGAGCTTAGGATACACATAAGGCAGTATGTGAGGGGTACCTGGCACAATCTTCAGCCCAAATGGTTTGGTGAAATCTACAATGTGAATTTTAAAATAGCCCCACATACAATCTGTTTAAAACTTTAAGAGTCATTGCTCATCACAAGAACAATAAAGCCTACTCACTGGTTTTTCTTTTATAATTTTTAAAAATAAAGTAGGCTCTCATTCTGAAAGTAAAATTCTTCCAGTAATTAACAGTTGAACTATTTATAATGGTCATGTATACTTTTAAAACAATATGTTGGGGTAGGAAAGATCTCTCCAGAAATTCAGCACCCAAGGACTTTTACTGAAAAATTTCCCCACTTTAAAAGTGTGGTTTAGGCTGGGGATTTAGCTCGGCGGCACAGCGCCTGCCTGGCAAGTGCAAGGTCGTAAGTTCGATTCCTGGTACCAGAAAAAAAAAACAAAAACAAAACAAAAAAATGTAAAAAAAATAAAAGTGTATTTTACAAAACAAGAGGCACATAGAAGGACACAGGAAAGGATAATATTTGCCTGAATTGTTGTTGAGAGGATTCATAGGTCAGTACAAGATTAATAGTATATTAATAAGTTGGTTTCAAGGATAAATGTTTTTCTTCATTAATTAAAGAGAATTTCTTCTGACATCATGGGATGTCACCGTGCTTTGATGTTAACTTCTGAAACCGCTTCTTCCGGTTTATGGGTGCCCTCTTCTGCAGTTGGGAACCCAAGGAAGCAGAGCGCTGCACTAACCATGGTTGTCGCTGTTTCTCCTTTGCCTCCTCCCGCGTTCACAACACATGCACAGGGTACCTTAAGATGTTTGACATCCCTCCTGGGGCTAGACATGTGTTAATCCAAGAAGACGAGGCTTCCCCTCACATTCTTGGTAAGTGTTCTGCCCCTGGCTCTGCGTTAATGCATGCTTCAGCATGGAAAGGTCAAAGAAGTCACACGTGCAGGTGTCTGTGTGTGTGTGGGTAGGGGTGCACATGCAGGCAAAGAGAAGTTATTTAAATGCCTTAGTTGAATATGATGTGGGTTTTGTCATTTCTCCCAACTATTTTTACTTTAAAACAGGAACTATCCAAAAAGAAAACTTTAATTTTGGTAGAGAATGGTGATTGCTCATAATGACAGGAGGGAAAAACAAGTTTGTGCTTCTTATGCATTTTTTAGTCTGTGTTAAGGGATGAGAACAATACATTATTAAGGAAGAATACCACAAAAATTCATATATTTTCAAAATGTTTGGTTGAGTCCATACCATACACTTCCCCTTATTTTTATTGAACTTCAAGTTCTTTGGGTGAAAAGCAACCATGGGTGGATGTTTTTAGTCTTATGTTACATTTTCCTAAAGCTGTATCTGAAAAGTGTCAGGTGGCTTTTGATTGGCACATGCAGATCCATTTGCCTGGTTGAGTATAATTTCCAAAAGATTCTTTTTTTTTTTTTTTTTTTGTGAGAGCACCACATAGAAGTGTCACTTTAACGGGGTCTGTGTGTAAATATAAACAGTTTACATATTGAAGCACTACAATTTTTGAAATTTAGGAATTATGTTGACTTAAAAATGAATTGTTTTATAGTGTCTCATACAATTATTTTTAAAAATATTTAAATTATCTTCACTACTAGTTGCTACCGCCTTCTGACATTCAGCCAGAGTACTTTCTCTGGTGTTTTAAAATCCTTACTTTTGGGGCTGGGGATTTAGCTCAGCGGCAAAGCGCCTGCCTTGCAAGCGCAAGGTCGTGAGTTCGGTTCCCGGTACCGGAGAAAAACCAAAAAAAAAAAATAAAAAAAAATAAAAAAATAAAATCCTTACTTTTCATCCTAGATCCAGGTTATTACTTATGAACTAATTAGTTTAAAAGTTAAAGGAAAATAAATGTGTTTAACTAGAGTTAAACTGAAGATAGAATCTAGGGCCTTGAATGGGCGAGGCAAGCTCTCTACCACTGAGCTACGTTCCCACCCTTTACAAATTTTCATATTTTCTACACATTTTCAGTGATGGGGATCATTATGAAATGTTCTACTTTTAACTGATCCTTACATGCTGATATGCATCTCCAAAACTTATGTTCATTTATTATTTTCACCCACTGGAGTAGCATTTTATTTTATAATATATAGTGGCTGTAATACAGTGAGAATCCTACCAGCAGTAGGCAGCTTTTCCTGATCGTTGAAGCAGCTGATGTGACCTTAGAATTTTGCAACCATAAGAAAAATGATTGGCCTGTAAACCTGTTCAGATATTTTGAGCGACTGTAAATATTTTGACCAGTTTAAAAATGATGACACTATTAAGAAGCCATTTTGTTATTTTCTGTTTAATGTAAACTATTTGTATTAATCAGTGGAGAAATATCCATTATTATCAAAATAGACCTGGCTGTCTACAGAAATATAGAGGGTGGATGAGTTAGAAACTGTTCTCCTCTTTGACAATGTTTTCAAATGAGAATATTTGCAAACATTATTTTTGCTTATTTAACTGACTTACCATGATGTTGACTAGTTGGACATGCTTCTTGAGAGTTTTTAATCCCTCATGAAGGAAGTGCTAATAATATTAGGACTAACACCCATTTTAATGGCCTGATACTAATTAACATAGTCACTGACTTATGAAGGGGAACAGACTTGCTACGGATCTTCAAGTTTTGACATGATAAGATACATGCTTGGGTTACTCATTTCCCTTCTTTAGCTATTAAGAACCAGGCTACAGGCCACTACATTTTAAATGGCAAAGGGGAAGAAGCCAAGTCACGGACCTTCATAGATCTTGGCGTGGAGTGGGAGTACAACATTGAAGACGACACTGAGACGCTCCACACTGATGGACCCTTGCACGATCCCGTTATTGTTCTGGTATGTGGCATTGTAGGCTGTTCTGAAGTTGGTTCAGGTTACAATTTTATACTTAATTTTTGTGAAAACACTTTACCTTGGGCATTAAAATATTTTAGTTGCTTGATTTTTATAATTCCATTTGTCTCCCCCAACTCTGCACAAAATTGTCATATATCTTAATATATGTTATAAGATGAAAAATACATCATGATTTTTTATTTAAGAAACAGGTTATGTTTTAGGACAACAAAAAATAAAAAGGTGTTTATATTTACCATTTCCAATGATTGTTGTCCTCCCTTGGAGATCTGACTTTCTACCTGGTCTTTGTAGCACATGCTGGATCCCTCGACATAAGGAGCTTCCTGCAGCATTTCCCAGGCATTGCTCCTTTGCCTGTGGGGTGGGTGTACTAGCAAAGAATTCTCTCAGCTCTCATCTTCCAAAATATCATAGGTTCACCCTCAGTTTTTTGTTTTTTTTTTTTTT